CTGTGGCTGTCGCAGAAGGGCTGTTCCATGTTGGGTCGGCCATCAGGGTGAGGCGATCATGGGCATGGGCTGAACTGAGCTGTGGGACCTGTGCGACGCCGCCCGGGAAGAGGCCATTTGGGGCCTCAGAGGGCTCAGCTGGAGCCAGCCATGGGGAGCGTGGGCCTCCTCCACCACACACTCCAGTCTGCCGAGGGGATGGAGCGGGCGTGGATACAGGGGGGTCACCGCAGTGATAGCCAGGGGACTCTTTGGGGTCCCAGCTGAGCCTATTCCAGGTCAGGCCCAGCCGCACCTTCAGGGTGATACGGTCCTGGGCTGGGCTGATGGCGGTGCCTCCTTCCTCACAGAGTGGAGTCTCTGATGGCTGCCCATGGCTGGGTAGGGGCCCTGCCCAGGCTGGGGACAGCTGGAGCTCCTTCCACCAGGTGAGGACATCAGCGCAGCCCGAGGTACTGAGCAAGGACATCGCCCCAGGTGTGAAGCACAGTGACATCTGTTCCGGGGTGTGAGGAGATCAGGCCAGGAAGCACTTGCTGTTTCCTCCCCCACACGTGGGCTGGGACTCACCCCAGCCAGGTGAAGGTGAGCACACACCCAGGGAATGAAGAGGCCCACCTGCTCCTCTGAAATCAGCCCACGGGTCATGGCTCAAGCAGTCACTCCACAAACATTCAGCAGCTGCACTGACGGAGGCGTGGACCTGCCTGAGGGGCTCATGGGAGCGACATGTGACATGTGCCACACAATGAAGGCAACGACTCAGAGGTGACTACTGCTCACGTGCCAGGGACTGTTCAAACACCTCACCCTATGACTGATTCAGTTCTCATCACGGTCCGAGGGAGCAGGGGAGCTCTTCCCCTGGACATGAGCTGAGTCACTGGTCAGCTAAAATCCCCAAGTAAACCAGCTCAGAAGTGCTGGAGCCAGAATCAGAACTTGGTATACTTTCATCACCTACCGTAGGGCCCCATACTTTCCAGTTTAGAAATCATCTCAGGTCTGTTTGTTTCCGCCCTCCTCCCAGAGAATCTAGGCTCCTGTGATCTCAGGTTGCTGCGGGAAGGGAGCTACTCTCCTGTTTCATCTCTTTAAGGATGGTCAGTACACGATCTATAATCAAATAGAGGCTCCAGAAGTCCCCAGGCTCCACTCCCCAGGGTGCCAGACTGATGGTTCCAGGTCCTTTGGTTGGGACCTCCTGGAGTCTGCCTGTCCATATCTGCCCAGGGTCTATAACCTATGGGATCCCCCCTTAAAAAGCCGCCCCCTTGGCACACAGGGTGGTGCGTTTCTCCTCCTCGTGCCCAGGGTCACCTCTGCCCTCGGCTCTCTGGTCTCTGATGCTCTGTCCCGTCCAGTGTTGGTCGTGGCCCAGTTTGTTGATTGATCCCATGGGTTTGGGTCCTTCTGGGACCTTGTTGTGGTGGGGTGCTTTCCTGTCTGGTCTGGCTGTCCCTTGTCTTGTGTGTTTCCTGCGATAATTCCGAAGGCCAGGCTGTGGTCAGTGAGGTGGGGAGGTGCGAGCAGCTCCCCAGCAGGCTCCGGAAGGCGGAGGGGTGTTAGGACCCAGCTCTGCTGCTTGGTCCCGACTC